CGATAACGCAGAGTTTCTCTCGTTGGGCTCGGTGGTATCGGCGCCAGCCTGAGCCTTCAGATGCACTGACAGCTTACCCCGTGTTGTTGACTCGGGATCAATATACTGTTGATAAAATTTGATAAGGTCGGATTTGCTCAAGGTCCGGACGTTAGCAGCGTCGGACTCGTTCTGCATGAAGTCGAAATATTCAGAACCAACATGGGTCCAGAACCGAGTGGTCTCGGAGCCCAGATTCTTCAGTTTCTCTAAGCGCTTATTGACGACACTCCGTTTGTGGCCCTCGAACTCTTCATCGGACATCTCTTCTAACGCCTTGCCAAAGTTGCTCAGGAATGCATTGATTCTGGATTCCAGATACTGGGCAGTGCGCTCACTCTGGATAATGACTCGGTAACCGATAGTCGTGGCTGAATAACGTGCACCACTCCAAACGACGTACCCCAGTTGCTCTTTGCTTCGGAGTTGGTCGAATGCAGGCTCGTCGGTCATTTGGGCAAACAGCAAAAGCTTCGCGCGGAGAGTGTCGTCTGTCATGTTTCCGACAAACAGATAATATTCTATGCAGTGGTTGACGTTTGCGGGATCCTTCAGTGCCCGCTCATAGATAAAGTCGGACCCAGGAGGGACGATCACGTTGCGCCTTACATGCCATTGAGACTGGGGCAAGGGACGGCTCTCAAGAATGCTCTCCACAGAATCTGTCATCCGAAGGGCGTCCTCTTTGTACACGTTACCGTGCGCTAACACCTCTATATGATTCTGGCGGAGCAGCTGGGGGAAGAAGCACGAGATATCCTCGGATTCAATGTGCTCCAGTTCAGCAGCATATTGCTCATTGAGCCACGCTTTCTCGGCAGTCAGATAACGGGTGTAGTCGCCAACTTGATAGAACGGCTGCTGATACTCCGCGTTCTTATATCCTCGTGACAAGCGTTCCTTGATGACATGGAACCGGTCTGGGTTGACAACTAGGTCACGCATGCTAGTGAGTACCTTCTCAAGAAGCACTGCCATTTTGTCATTATATCCGCCAACCGAGACATCAAGCCCAAAAATACTGGCAGAAAGGTTATAGTCCAGTCCGGCAAGCTCAGCATCGTAGGAATATTCCACCAAAGCATCTCTGACAAGCTCACAATATAACTTTGATTTTACAAGGTTTGCTGGGGTAGCCCACACCAATGGATTCCGGAGAGTGACATGGAGAGTGGCTTTAGGCACCCAAAACCGATCGTCCTTCTTGAACCAGAGACGTACATGATCATCATGGCGAATAAGCTTTGGGGTCTTTGCTGGCTCCGAGACCTCCTTCTTCTCCACGGAGAGTCGTGTGGGGACGAATTCGTTTTCATGGGGCATGTGCAGACCAGAAAGCCTAGTTTCCGGGGTGCTATTCAAGGCTTCCTGAATCTCAGCCAAGAAGTCTTTCGGGACGTCCTCGACCTTGTATTCGGTGCCGTACCATTTCTCCCTAAGGTCCCAGTCTCCCGGGTAGTCCTGAGCAACGACAACCATTCTGAAATTATCGGCGCGCAAGTACGACAGTGCCTTTTTGATCAACTCCGGGTTGTAGCTCCTCAGGAGAGAGCCGCTGAGCAACCAATCCCGAGGCAATGGCTTCTGCATGACGCTACTCAGGCGACTAGTGAATCGGCTGGCCGGCGTCTTCTGTTTGAACCGAAATTCGACCTCTGCTAGATTCTTCATTTCGTCGAAGATCCACTGCTCGGGCTCCCGTTCCTTGATCAACGCAATATATTCAAACACCGCCTTAGCGACTTCACGGTATTGCCGTAAACCCTCCTTTGTCAACCGTATCGAGATGGTGAAAAAAGCAGATCCTGGGCAAATGGGCATAACACCAGCAGACAAGCCATTGGCCCAACCTTTTGCCTTCACATAAGCCAAAATACTGCCAGGACCTTCATGACCAATCAAGTGACTGATATACCGGCTTGGTTGGGACTCATACATATGCTCCTCGTCTAAGAAAGGGAAGTAGATGTCAAGCGAACGAGTATCCATTACAGGCTTGGCAAAAACCTGTTTACACATATCGTCGGCTAGCCAAGGCTGAGCATCGTCCCAACGGTTTTGTGGCAGATCTTTATTCTTTACACCAGCAAAGAGATCTCCAACCCATTGCTCCATTTCGTCCAATGTTTCGCGTCCTAGAACCACCAACTTCATCCGATTAGAGGAGTAATGCTTCTCATAGAATTTGATGAACTCATCGCGAACGTTCAGCCCGCGTTTTTGCGGCTCTTCTTTCAACGTCTGCAAATTGCCCGTGGAAAAATGGTGATAGGGATGTGCAGGATTTGAGAGAGACTTGTTTAGTTGCATTAAACGCCACAGGTCGCTTTGCAAATTCTTCTTGTTTTCAGAATCTACCGCCCTCAGCTCGCGGTCCAGCGTTGACTCTAAGAAAAGCGGCGCCACGAAAAATTGCGCAAAGCGATCGAGAGCGCCATATAAAGGAGACGATTTACTACTATTCGGGGATTCAGAGCTGTTCGTCTGTCCGGTAGGGGTTGTCCCGTTTGTCGTGGTACTATTGCTACTGGACGACCCATCGCTCGACTCTGAGGTGGCAGACACTTCAAAAAAGTAGTTCGTCTCCGTGGCAGCAGTGTAAGCGTTAGACGATCCAGAATGGGATGCTAGATATTGGTTGTATGCGTTTTCCTTAGGATACTGTGTTCATGGCACGGGTTAGCTACCGGTCATGTGCTCAAGAAGAGGGCAGGGTGAGCACGCCAGCACGATCTAACCTACCTTTTCAGTTCCCATGAAGAGTAAATGCTCAACAGCATGAGCCATGCCTGGCATATCATCTGCATCTGAAAAATTGCCAACATTAACATTGACGGCTGCGCTTGCCTTGTCCGTATCAGGGTCATGAACAAGTAGGGCCTCCAGCTTGTTCGGGAGACGAATGACGCGGTACGAGCGGTCATCCAACTCCGGCTTGTCCAGCTGCTCCGTGATGCGTTCTATCGAGGCCATGGCTGCGGTTCTGGTAGAAAATGGAGCACGAATCGACAAGAGATGGGAATGATGAGTGCACACGCGGGATGACCAGGGAGAGCGATGCGAGAAGAACCGTGGCGAAATCGATGAAGGAGAGGCGATCGCCGCAAGGGCGCCGGAATTTGCAATAGAGCGATAAACTGGAGTTGAAAATGAGAGACTCCTAGCGTTCCACAGGCGGAGGGCTGCAGAGGACGGGGACCTTGGAGGCATGCGAGAACGGGATTGATTATCTTAAGAAGCCGCTCGAGCGAGCTCCCGGCGGCGAACTTATGAATGTGGCCACCCGGGTCAATGCGGGTCCACGTCAGTTGGATAAGGAGGTAGTCCCCACAAAGAAACTTTACAACGAGAATAAGGTATGCCCAGGAGTAGCAATAAGAGAGAGGTTGGGAGAAAGAATGACAACGATCACGACATTTCAACAATGCTGTTCAACACAAGGAAACCATTGGATGATGATTAATGGCAGGGCGGTGAGGTGGAGATTCCCTCGGATTGCAGGCGGTGAGGCCTCCTCCCCACAATAATGCATCCCCAAAAAGGGCCTCCTCCATACAGACCATCACTGATCAGGGTTAGTATACTTTTAGGCATGTACATCCCCTCAGCTCAGGCAGCGTTCTACGTTTTCCAGAGACGCAAAGGGATAGTCACCCACGGAATTGTCTTGTACAGTGAGTCATTGACCAACGACGGCCATTTCCCAATGACTGGAGAGCATTGTTAGAATATCCACCGTCATACAAAATTTAGGACCTATTTATTCTTGTTACTTTCGAAAGGCAGCAGTTGAAATGCACAAATATCTGTAAATAACCAGGTAGTATAGTTATTTTTGTCACCATTATTAACAACGGCTCTTTGTTCATTGGGATTTACATAAACTCCACATTATATATGTAACGGCGGGAACCTATATAGATACAAAACAGGCAATCTGAATCGTATATTCAGATTTATGTGATCTTTTGGTCTTGTGGAATATATACTAGCCTCTGATATGGTCAAAGTTGGACTCGGCCCTTGCGGACTCGTAAACCCCAGTACCCCTACTTGGTTGTCGTTGCTCCTAGTCGCTTTCGCAATACTTACAAGCTGTGAGAGAGTTTGCACTAGTATTGTCTATTCACTCTCTGACAGACTCGCTCTCTCTATGATCTCCAAGAATTCCTTGTTCTATAAATAAACAATTAGTAAGTCAAGTCCTCCAACAATACCTATACTACTCCTACAGTCCTACTCACGCAATCGTTGGAAATTCCACAAAACCAAGTGAGGACAGAATGTGGATCTTTATATTTAGATAGTGTTGGATGATCTCAAACTGATTCGCAATGGAGAAAGATTTTTATAGGCATGATATCAGGAAGATTATAGGCGGTTGGTCAAAGAAAAGAAGAAAAGAAGAATAGTTGTTTAAAAAAACGGCAGATAATCTGTACCTAGGGAGTTTTGGGGAAATTTCTTCCACAGAATGAATCCGAATAGTCGAGTTTTCATCTTCATATTGTTATTTATGTAAGTTGTAACACCCATTCAATAACTATGACTATACTAGTGCTATCTTAACCAGAATCCCCAACGTGAGACGGGGAAATTAAATATATTTAGTATAATATGATAGATAGAGACTGTATTGTATATATATATATATATATATATATATGTAGAGAAAAGAATACTTAAATAAATCTATAAAGAATAATCCTTTAAGTGCTAGCTGTCCTTTCCCGGCCATTATAATCCTCTACCTTGTACGAAGTATATCCATCTTCAATAAGGTACGCTAGACAAGGGTCTATAACAGGCGTAAATACATAAAATTTCCCCACATTCGGAACATCAATCCGCTCGGAACCCTCCTCCGACGAAGTATATAACCACTTGGATTTACTACATTCAGAAAAACATATATCAGCTCCTATTGAAACTATCTGGCAATACCCATATACGCAATAAATATGGACGTATTCAGCTCACTGCAAAATAATGGCCGCCAAATCCATTGCATTGACATGCATACCACCGGCGAGCCAACCCGCATCATCTACTCTGGCTTCCCCAATCTCGAGGGCTCATTACTCTCCAAACGCGATCAAGCGAAGAACCAATACGATGACATCCGCAAACGCTTAATGTTAGAGCCCCGTGGACACGATGGTATGTACGGTGCTATCATCATCCCTGAGACGGAGCTAGTGATGTCCGGGGAAGCTGATATCGGTGTCCTGTTTACGCATAATGAGGGGTACTCCACTATGTGCGGGCACGCCACTATTGCACTGGGCCGGTTCTTGGTCGACACCCATGACCTGAATGTGTTTCCGCGAAGAGAGACCTTGAAGTTTGATGCAGATAGCCAGAGTGTTAAGGTTAATCTTCACGCACCATGCGGGTTGATCAGGATTACTGTGCCTACTACGCCAGATGGAAAGAAATCCGATCCTTCGCGCTCGGTGTCGTTTCTGTCCGTTCCTTCTTTTGCACCGGCTGTGCAACTAAGGATTCCTATCCCATCGGAAGTTCGCTGGCCTGAACTAGGAACAAGGGACTCGATCGTTTTGGATCTCAGCTACGGAGGGGCATACTACGCTCTCGTCGATACCGAAGAGCTCGGCTTCAAAACCTTGAAAGATGTGGACCTCGATGCTACTACGCGTTGTAGTCAGAAATTATTGCCCTATTTGAGAACACATCCAGATATTATTTCCGCAATCCAACACCCGGAGGACCGTCGTCTTTCGTTCCTCTACTCTATGATGATTGTAGACTCGAAAACAGGTGTTAAACCTGGAGACGTTGAGGGTACGGAGACTGGGCTTTGCTACTTTGCTGATAGCCAAATCGACCGCTCGCCTACAGGATCCTGCGTCGCAGCGCGCGTGGCGTTGGCATATGAGAAAGGTTTGAGGAAACCTGGGCAACGCTGGGCGTATAACTCATTGGTGTCTAATAAGTTTGGAACCGGGGCATTTACCGCTGAAGTTGCGGGTGAGGATTCCATTACTGATGCCCAGGGCAAGAGTATTCGCTCTGTGGTTGCGAAAGTTGGCGGACAGGCCTTCTATACCGGGGCGATGACATTCGCAGTGGAAGATGAGGATGTGGTATCGAGTAGCGGGTTCACTATGGCTAGTGTAGTATCGTGATATGCTCTAATTCACTTTTGCTGCCCTTGTGCTGACATCTGTAAGCTGTTTCTTTATTTATGGTAAATTCGCTTGTCCAATAAACAAGACACTCGACAATATTGACTGAATTTGTACATAGATGATCTTGATATGAATAACAACCCTGACAAGAAAGGCGTTACAGATATTGAAACAAGATAGATACATAAATAGTGTCAGGATAGTCAAAGGATGAAAACTGTTACTCACTCAAGGCAATTGGTCATATCTCTCACTGGTTCCTTAATATTTTGTGACCAACGTTTATTGTATCCACTGACGTCTAACCTCCACTGCCTAGGGTAATACTCGGTTAAATTGGGCATCCACACCAGTGAATCTGAAGTTTCAGATACTATGTCTAGAATTGAACTAGAGGGAAGCGGTTAGTTGCGTCTAGAGAAGCTCTTGTGCTAGAGACCCTCCAACAGATCATTCCTATGCTAGTAATTCGCAGAGAGGGAAAGAGAAATTTGGCCAACACCCCGGAAGAGATCCTAAGATGACTGTCATGTCTTACCTTGAGTGGATATCTACTCAAAGAAGAGAATCATGCCGGGCTTTTAGGCCCTTAGCGCGTTGATAGAGTCTGCCAGTGCTCCCCCTTCCCTTTGATAGTCTGTTGACCTTTGTAATGTAGTCTCCTATTGCCGATAATGTCCAGCCGCTGCCTTCGAGGTTGTAGTTGATCTTTAACACGCGTATACAAATGAAACAGAAGCGGGAGAGGCAGCGATGACAACAATTGAAACAGGATACATGAACCAGGGCCTATGCAAGGGCTAATTTGGTAACAATGCGCTTGACAATGCGCCTAGAACTCAACAGCTCAAAGCCAGTTTGGTCTATCCAGATTGGAGCTGGATACTAGTGTTCTGTAAGATACTATAAACACATCATAAAATTGGACTGGACTGAACAAAATTCCTAGCTTCCCAAGACTTAGAATTTCCCATTGGATGTTGGAATATTTATTCAACAATTTGTGCATTCATTGTATATTTGAAGGAAATGGGTAAGTTCTTATTACGTACGGAGTGGTGTTATATTGGGTAAGGGTCCTCAGGCTCCACTTGCAGGCTGTGGCTGGGGGTCAGCTTTTAGTTAGCAAACGAAATCAAATGTTCTGCCACCTGTCGCAACTTCTGGCCTGACAGCCTCTCCCCCTGTACTCCGTACAACCCGTCGCAGTCCTTACTGCTTTACGCTATATGACCTATGATTTAAACACGCATTAAGTTATAAACAAAGCCACATTCAGGGAACGGGAAATACCACGGAGGGTCGAGACCCGCGGCGGCATCCACCATAAGTACTCGCCCATCACAACCTCCGCTCTCCTGCCGATCAAATTCCAGTAGCGCAACCATGACCACTGCTCTATCGACTTTGAATTAGATTCAATTGACGCTGTAAATACGACTGAGTTTTTCGATTTTCTGCACGAACCCATCCGAGTTGTTACCCCATCGTCAACACAATGCTATTCTGCGGCGGAGTCCAAGGCCCACGCCGTCGCAATCGCGAAAAGGCCATCCTGGTGACCATTTTCATCATAGGCGCTTTGTACTTTCTGTTCTTCGCGAAGAAGTCTGAACACCGCAAATTCGTTTCCCACAATTCAATACCCTATGAAGGTTCACAGCGAAATCCGCATTCGGGGCAGGTTTCCCCGTCGTCGGTGCCAAAGTCGCAGACTCTCGAGAAGGACCTGGTTGTTGCCAGTATGAAGAAGGACGACGTCTCCTGGCTATATGATAACTTTCCCGAATGGCATAAGAGTATCTACGTGGTGGATGATAAGCAGGCGAAGTTGACAGTGGACTTGAACAAGGGAAGGGAATCTATGGTTTACTTGACGTAAGAGAAGCCCTTGCGCAGGTCGCTCTGAGCGTACGATTGGCTAACTTTGTTACAGATATATCATCGATAACTACGACAACCTCCCCGACGCGATGCTATTCATCCACTCGCAGAGATACCAGTGGCACAATGACGACCCCTACTACGACGGTGTCCCCATGCTCCGCAATTTCCAGCTCCCCTACCTCCTAAAGCAAGGATACGTCAATCTCCGCTGCGCCTGGGTTCTCGGATGTCCGGTGGAGATCCACCCGCTTACTGATACCCATCGTGACGACGTCCATGCAGGCGAGTACTTCAAGACTGGTTTCATGGAGCTCTTCCCTGGTGTCGAGGTGCCGGAGGAAGTTGGGGTTTCATGCTGTGCGCAATTCGGTGTCACGCGATCGAAGGTTCTTGAGCGGCCAAAGAGTGATTATGTACGGTTCAGGAAGTGGTTGGCTGAGACACCGCTGCAGGATGACCTTAGTGGGCGCATCATGGAATATTCATGGCATATGATCTTTGGAAAGGGCCCCGTTTACTGTCCCGCTGCCGAAGAGTGCTACTGCAAGGTGTTCGGGCTGTGCGGCCTATCTTGTCCACACGAGGGAGATTGCGCTGGACGCTACGTGCTCCCTCCCTTTTCTTCACTCCCAGAGGGATGGCCGTATAAGGGTTGGAAGGGCCAGGACCAGGACCCGACCAAGGGTTTGCCTGAAGCTTGATTGTTGCCAAGTCGATGCAGCCATGCCCAGTACGACGAACGCGGTGTTCTGTCAGGAAGCCGGAGACATATCGACCCTACCGTACAACACCCGCACCAGACCATGCCTGTGTGTGCTTGAGCATGCAATATGTCGCGTCCACAGCCGATATGGCCTGATGGTAGTCGGCCATTACCTGAGACTATGCCACCAGTCTGTAGACGGCTATTTAAGACATACAGATGTCTACTCCTACTCGGGTGTGCCGGATAACTAGAGGCATTGCATACTGCGCCTACCACCAGCGCCCAACCCACAGCGGTCGGATGGCCTGATATGTTCTGCGAGGCCTACACACTGCTACATCCATTCTGGATATCATTTGGGCCTACGATTCTATTTCATGAAAGTCATGACAGATTGCATGCGGGTATATTAGACGACGAACCGTTTAAGTCAGAAGATTGAGGCTTCTAGACATACCATCTCCCTTGATTCACCAGCCACTCCCTAAAACATAGACAATTAGCATTTTGATGTACCATTATTAATTAACTATCGCACACGGCGTTAAGTTTTGGAGTATCTGGGTAATATGGGAAACCTCAACACGAATACGATACTAATGACCTCATCTACTTTGTAATTTAGTCTTCCTACCTTTAAGTAGAACACCCATGGACGTAAGTACCAGAGTGTGAGGTAAGATCCTGATCTTATAGCTTTCGTGATAAGCAATCAGGTGGTATCAGTTCAGGTGTCACAAACAAAAGAGCCGAGGTTAGTTGTGCCTTTCAAGCTCTCCCCACATCTCTGATTCAAGACCACAACCCTTCCAACCTCCTCCAACATACACAATTCCTCATCTCCACGCCAGAACCACTCCATCGACAATCCACAATCCTCCCCACTAATACCTCCGGCCAAATCCAGCACAGCAGCACGACCTCCCATCCCCCCGCAACTCAATTCCTTACCCCTCCTCACCAACCCCAACCACCACTCACTCCGAAGAATACAAGTCCAGGACCAAAAGAACCCAAATAAACAAGAATGCTCATCATCGGCCTAACAGGCTCAATCGCCACCGGCAAATCCACCGTCTCCAACTTCCTCTCCTCACCTCCCTACTCCATCCCCATAGTGGACACCGACCTACTCGCCCGCCAAGTCGTCGAACCAGGAACCCCCGGCTACAAAGCAATCGTCAACTACTTCGGCCCCAGTACCCCCGACCTCCTCCTTCCACCATCCCCAGATGATCCGACGGGATCCAAACGGCCCCTGAACCGGCCTGCGCTCGGCCGTCGCGTCTTCGGTACCACAGAGGAGCGCAAGCGCGATCGCATGATCCTTAATAAGATCGTCCATCCGGCTGTTCGATGGGAAGTCTACAAATCCCTCGTTTATTACTATATCCGGGGCCATTGGGCTGTGGTCCTTGATGTTCCGCTTCTGTTTGAGAGTGGGATGGATTTCATCTGCGGGACGGTGATTGTTGTCGGGGTGAGGGATCCGGAGGTGCAGATGGCGAGGCTGCGTGCGCGGGACCCGCATTTGAGTGCGGAGGATGCGGAGAATCGTGTGAAGAGTCAGGGTGATGTAAGGGGGAAGGTGGAGAAGGCTGAGTTCCGGGGTACCGAATCTGCGCGGGGTGTCATTGTCTGGAATGATGGGGATAAGAGTGATTTGGAGAGGGAGGTGAGGAAGGCTGTTAGTACTATCTCGGGGACCAGTCCGAGATGGTGGGCTTGGTGTTTGCTTTTGGCGCCGCCGTTGGGAGTTGGTGCTGCGGTTTGGAATATGGCGGTTAATTTTGTGACGCAGAAGAGTTGGGAGAAGAGGGCTAAGGAGGAGAAGGCTAAATTGTAGATCTATTCTGTTACTTTTATATTTTTGAGGCTTGTGCTTGGGTACTGTTTCTTGGGTGATTGGCGCTGGGTTGGGGAGTTCATGTCGTGTATACGTTTAGCTGATGGAGTACTGCAAAGACTATACCAATCTTATGTTATACCCTTTTACTTGGAACATACTCTGGACTCGGTATATTTGGGTGTCTATGTCCAGGAAAGAAAGCTTCAATGCCCTATATTGCCATTTTATATGCAGAGAAATAAGACACGTTCAACGAAGAAACATTCAAGAGCTGAAGAGAAGTCTTGTTCCAATCATACATACTACAACGCATACTCCCCAGACATATGGACATAAAAGCGTATCCGCATACTCCTCTTCCAGACATCCCCAAGTTCCATAGAACCACAATTCTATACTGCTCCATGTGAGACTTTACACAAGTCCTCATTTCCAATTTACTTTAGTCATAAGACCCCAAGCCGTACCCGGAAAATACTTCCTCAACTTCCAACTCGCCCTACGCTAAGTACTAACTTACCTAGGTTACTTAAGTATACCTTCCAAATCCGTCAACCAATTAGTAACAGTAACCATAGCCACAATCAAGGTGGAGAAATAGTTTGCAGCTCGGCGTTCGTATTTGATCGACCGGATCCAAAATATACTCCATCTGCCATAACCACGGCTGAGAAGAATAAGAGCTATTATGATTTGCTAGATTTCTCTACATACAGAGTTTCATCATTATCACATAGTTTCCAAATGTTCATTAAGTGACCCTAATCCCATGACCCAGGACATAAACATAGCGTAAGGTTATTAACCGTGACGAAATTGATTCATCCAGCCTTATACAAAATCACCTGTCTTGTCCGTTAGCCATCTTACTAGGGAGGCCGTATCATGTAGTTAAGGAAGTAAAACCAACCTAACACTCTTCGGCACAAAGTTCTAGGACCTCATTCGATTCACTCTGGCACACCTTCACCTGGCTACCGCCGGGCGAGACACCCTGTGGCCAGCAGATAGAAGGGCAGGAAGTATCGGATGGCTTGATGACTACTGCGCTGCCGGAGAAGGGGTCACCAAAGACATCAGACATGTCGTACCATACGCCGGCGTTGTCAAGCGTGTAGGCGTAGTTCAGCTGGGGACTGCCGTTGTAGAGACCGTTGTCGACGGTGGTGATCTTCAGGGAGACGCCACCGGAGGCGTCATCGTGGCGGAAGGGCTCGCTGTAGGACTTGCCCGGTTCGATGGTTTGCTTGGGACCGACAGAGCCGCCGACGGACCAGAGGTAGACGGGATGGTCACAGGAGTTCTTGACCACTGCGTTGCCTACGGCGGCTGCCAGGGGGGTCAGGGCTAGGAGGGAGAGGGCTTTGAGCTGCATTTTGTTCTTGATAGGTCTTAGATTGGCCTAAGTATGGAAGTGATTGAGAGGGATGATTGTTTGATATGAGGTTTTGGGTGGTGGGAGGGCGTGCCTTTATAGGTTTTTCGATGGCCCCGGGTTTTAGAGCTGGTTATTCTTTTGTCTTTTCTTTTTTTTTCTTGGGGCTCAAGAGAGGAGAGTGAACACTACTCCGTATGCTATCGGGTCTTTTTCCAGACCGCCCATCCCAAGGTACCCTGCTCTAGTCATGATGGGCTGGTGGTCTGACGGAGGTTAGCTAACCTGATGTCAGTACCCGAGTCGGAAGTATGGTAACTGAGACAATGTAGTAGGGAAAGATCGCTTGGCCCTGTACAAACAGTGGAGACCTCGAGCAAAACCAAGTGAGACAGTTACATCTGGGGCATCATCGCTTGCATACGTCTGCCGTAGACGTAGAGAGGTACCCAATGGCGATGCATTAGTCGTTCAGACTAGATTCGGGTTGAGATTGCCTGGTTGGCGATGTCTCAGGGCCATTGCAGTAGTTCGCCTCGCGTGGAAGCGGCGGTGATACTATGGGTATTTAGTTCGGCTCATTTTGGTCTTCGGGTCTCGTATTTCGGCAGTCTATTGATAGCATATGAGGTCACTTGGAAGGGATTCTCTCTTGTCATCTCCAGCACCGTCATCTGACTAGCGAGCCTTAGGCCCCAGACAGCGGTGGAGAATTAAGTCCCGGAAAGTCAAAAGCACAGATGGGGTTCTGTTTATGCACTAGTACTGGCACAAGTCATTCATGCAATGCAACGCCACCGATTTAATTTATCCTGTGGAGATGACGGAAGAAACGGATCCCAATCAGTACCATGAATGTCTCAGTGCTCCGCATACAACATAGGTGCAATTATTTCCGATATTTGTGTTTTCCTCCTCATGAACACTCGACCAGAGTAGGGCTCAGGAAATCATACACAGCCACAACTGGTTTGCATCATATATTCAGTCAAGTGGGATACTAATGCCCAGATCATATCACCAAGGTATCGTTATCCAGAAATTTTGCATGCATATCAAGGTATATACCAGGAATAAGAGATAATTACTGATCCTTACTTCCTCATACCAAGTATCAGGCTCGAGCCCCATGGCTGTTCAAGTGGCACAGCATATACCATGATTTGCTTTTGTTCTTTTTCTTTTATTTTATTTTAATTTTGTTTGTGACCATTCTTGTCTATCATTTTTCTTAATTTACTATTATGATTGTCATGATTATAAGGCGACGCAAAGGTCAATGTTCTAAATATGAGGTTTCTAGACATTAGGCCATTTCTCCATGGTGAAGCCCCGATCTGAATGTCTTATATATTGGTCGCAATGCTGGGGCTTCGGTTCATTTTATCTCTACTTAAATGCCTAGCGTAACCATCATTGATCCTTCGTGCAATAGATGAAAAGATTATTATGCAACATTCCTGGCCGCCAACCAAAATAATCGATACAAAAATGGGGTCCTCATTCAGGTCGGTTTGGCAAAAGCTTCCTCAGGCTTCGTTGGAGACCGACTTGGCTGTTTTTCCTCCTCCGTCTCCTCACTCTCGTGTGGGTCGGCTCGATCCTCGATCCACTGGAACACCTCCTCTTTGTGATACATCAGCATCTCACTCAATCCTGACTTGTTAGATTGGATCAAATGCCCGTAGCGCTTCGATGGTTTGCGCCGGTTTTCAACGGTGTTCCAAACGCCATGGGTGTGCGAAACGAACACAAGAGAATTCTTCATTCACATTAGTACCTCTTCAAGACGATGGGGGAAGTTTTAGAGCAAATCGGAACCCATACATCTTTATACCATCTTGATAGCCAAACCTGAGTATGAGAGGCAATCGCTCGAACTGGGTTTTCGGCAACGAATGATACAACGCCATTCACTCGTTTATACAACGTATCTGATCCCATATGAGCGATGATTATCCACGTGGAAACGAAAGCATTTACCTCTATTGATCAGAAGATTGGCGACTCCGTAGAATGCATTGCCAATCCCAAGAAAGAAGATTTCCGTGGCCTCGTTGGGTCTACATCGATTATTAGCTAATGGGTCTCAACTCATTGGCATCTTTGTCCCACTCACTCAATGTAGTTGTCCCAGAGGTATGCAGCCAGTTCCTCGGTCGCTGTGGGACGGTTCTCTTCCTCGTCTTCATATTTCCCGGACTAGACAAACACGTTAATAGTTGTCTAGACATCGAATTAGGGCGGATACTCACGGGTTCAATTGTCACATGCTTTGGGATATTGACATCTATCACAGCATACCCTTTTCCAACGGCCCATCCGATATAGTCCTTCATGGAATCAGCCTTCTCAAGTTAGCATGCTTTGCACATTCTTATAGGGGTCCACGTACAAGCCAGCAGTTGTGGGCTTCCAACTTGTTCGTAACAGGGTGAGGCAATCCCATGATTTCCGGTCTGTTAAAAAGTCAGGCTAACTTGGCCGCCTCAGTTCGCGGGATATGACTAACGGATCATGGAATATCACCAGGAGTGGATTGCGTTGATAATAATTCGGCGTGGCCAGAACTTGATTCTCGAAAGACTTGGAGATGGCAGTTCGGTAAATGTAAAGTGAGGTTAGCTTGTAGTTCTCGTATAGTCGTTTAGACTGGTAAGCACGAATAACATCTAAAGACTTTGTTACCCCCAATGCAGTCACCTAGGCTCTTGCCGGTTCTACCTACCATGTAGCCTATCTGTCCAGAGCCCCTCCTCCTGCGGCGCTTTCGGATACATGCAATTCCAGAATTGTGACTGGATCATCATGACTCGTCTCACGGTAGTCGTTGCCAGTTTTGAAGGGAAGGTTGAATGAAGCCGGTCAGGCGGGTCCCCCATAAGGGTCTTCGTGACTGCGAGTGCAGACTTTGAGATTGATCTGAAATTGTAACCGCCCTACGACGATCGGTGTCAGACCAAACGATTGTTTACGGCACCAGGGTAGGCTTAACTTTACCTCTAGACAAACAGCAACCTTTCCATTTGCAAGGGTCATAAGCATGTGTGTCATGTGAGCGTAGCAGGTAGGTGTGACAAAACAACCTCCAAGCTCGTCACCCACAGCGGCGTCAAAGCCAGAGGCGACTATAATGCATTAGAACTCAAATTGTCTTCTTTCTGATTCCGGGGCATCAAAAGATATTTTGCATACCTATTACCAAATCGGGATTGAATTCCTGTGCAATGGGCATCACGACTTGTTGAAAGGCATACATGTAGTCGCCATCGCCCATTCCCTGGCTCGGCCAAGGTATGTTGACGTTTCTATACTATAATATTAGCAATGGAATGTAGGTAACGTATATCTGGTGTGTGATCCATACCGCCCATAGCCAGCACCAGCACCGCAGTGGTCCCAGTCGCCTTCATCCCCTCCAGGGTAGAATTTCCCATCCTGATGCACATGGAGTGAGATATATAAGACGTTAGGGTCATCGTAGAATGCCTTCTGGATACCATTGCCTATATTGTGTAAGCGTCTGTTTCCTGTGCCATAGATACGTTATTTGTCAATGCTTTACCATGATGAACGTCCCTGGGCCAGTCAATACCTCTTCAGCCAGTGAGTCAGATTTTGAAGATTACTTACCAATCAAGAATGAGGATCTTTCTGCATATTTCTCCTAACTGTCTCTGGCATACACGAGCTGCTACGGATACGTTGTTGAACAGACAGAACCCCATAGTTTTGTCATGTTCAGCATGGTGCCCTGGTGGCCGGATAACTGCTATAGCGTTCTTCACTTTCCGTGTGGCAACAGCTAAGCATGTTTCAATTGCGCCTCCGACGGACAATAATGAAGATGCGAAGGTCAACTTATTGAAGTATATCGAATCACGAGTATGTTCAAGAGCAATAAGCTCATCATCGGTCATATCTGTTAGATCAGTCAGGGACGTCTATCATTTTAGGTGAAACTATTTGTTTACCTTTTGTACTTTCAACAAATGCAAAATGATCCGGTGTGTGAACAAGAGATATTTCTTCCTCAGTAGCATTGCGGACACTAATCCGTTTCAAAGGTCGTGAGACAAGCGGTCTGGATGACTCTGGGTCGTCAACGAGCCCAGCTCGGCATAGCTCCTTGTAAATATAATAGATTCTCCTCGGGTCCTCTGGGTGAACATCTGCCGTTGGGCGCACTTCACAATGGTAGCGCATCTGAACGTCATAGCACAGACCGGAAGGGAGTTGAGCAATGGGAAGACCTCTAATGGCAACGGCATCTTCCCCCTCAGACCAGTCAGAGTTTTCCTCAACGAGACTATCATTAAGCTGGACAAAATCTTCTGCAGTGGCGTCACCAGAATCAGCTGGCTTTGGTAGACTCTTGGGTGGTGACATTGTGTGGTTGTCTGCGGCAACAGCTGGCTGAGGGTTTCGCACGCTAGCAGCTGACTGGACAGGCAACTTGAGAGATGGCCCTAGGAGAGGTGGTACGAGCCACGGATCCGATCTTCCATTGCTATGGCCAGCGCCATCATGAGTAAGATGCTGCGAGGGAGCAGGGTTAGGGTTATGAGTAACCGCCTCTCCCATGACAGTGTCTTCGTCCTCTTCGGCAGTCATTGCGCAGAAGCCTAGACGAGTTGGTCTTATTTCTGTCTTGTAGACGTCTTCTGTTCACTCTAGCATGCCATAACCAAGTCTGTCGTCTTGGGCGATTACGTCAGTCTCACAAGACCCCGAGCTTCCCTGGGCAAGATACCTCGTCGATAAATAACAACACGAGAGAGAAGTGACCAATAAGGATCGAGCACAAGAGACATAAAAACGAGTAAACTGGGCAGTACAGTAACGAATAAGTGATGAAGGATTGAAACAAGAGACACAAACTGTACTAGGATATAAGGCTGAACAATAAAGGTAGTTGGCGTTGGGGGATATCAAACCACAACTGTGGAGGAAACTACTAAATACTAGTAGTTCGAAAGCTTAGAAGCTCAACGACGAAAGACAGCTTGTGCTAGACCAGACCAGAGCAAATGTTCGAGAAAGAAATAATGTCCTCACCAGCCCAGAAGAACCACAGACAAAGGTTGATCTACTACGTGCACACCAGTAGAGGTGTTCTGGCGCACGTGCAGGAGTCTTGGATTATGCACTCTGCTCCCTGGAGAAGCCCCAAAAAGCGTGGTTTACTTAGCTTCCGCACGTGACTACAGCTGGTCATAGATACCAAACAGGCCACTTGCAGCTAACGGCAGAAAGCTAACCACGATTGGGCGTGGTATCGATTCACACGGTTAACGAAGATGGATCGAACTTAAAATTAGAATAGAGATAGGGAATGGACTTCACTGAAAAGTTTTCCAATTGTCTATCTCCCGCAATGGCAAGTTCCAACAATCACTTGCATTCGTCCGAGAGTTTCCCGTACTTCGCCGAGGCCCGTCAACCTACGAGGCTAACCAAGACAGTATAACTCTGTGTAAATGATATTCTGGAACTATTCTAGACCACCTTGCGCTGAGACTACTCCCCAATAAATACGCTAGGAGGAAGTATTGATTTCTAGTGAAAAGGAACACCTGTCAGGTGACTTTTGTCCAGTATGAACGTCAAATCATTTCATTAAATAAGTACGTTATCATATGCTTTTTATGCGATATGTAGATCCCCGGTCAACAGGGCACTTTGCTATCCCACAGGCCAATTTCTCGGGGTGGTGACCTGATAATCCGGGAATGTGGAACACAGTCAGGCGACTAGAATGTCTTTTTTATAGAACACTTCTAGTTTCTGGTCTCCGTCCTGATTCCTACTGGCCATCGACCTTGGCGATGTAGGCTAAAAGAGAACCGTTAGTAAGGGTCTGGAAAGCTCAGATTCAAGCCTAGAATGACTTACCAATGAGGTCAACAACACGGCGGGAGTAGCCCCACTCGTTGTCGTACCAGGAGACGAGCTTGATGAAGTGCTCGTTGAGGGCGATACCGGCCTTGGCATCGAAGATGGAGGAGTGGGCATCTCCGCAAAGGTCAGTGGAGACAATCTCGTCCTCAGTGTAGCCAAGGATGCCTAATCAAGTTAGTAAAAGTTGCAAGTACGGGCAGCTAAGACAGTATTGTGTTTACCCTTGAGATCACCCTCCTCGGAAGCAGCCTTGATGGTCTTCTTGATGTCCTCGTAGGTGACGGCCTTCTCGGTACGGCAAGTGAGGTCGACAACAGAGACGTTCGCGGTGGGCACACGCATGGACATACCAGTGAGCTTGCCGTTGAGAGAAGGAATAACCTTGCCGACAGCCTTGGCAGCACCAGTGGAGCTGGGGATGATGTTCTGAGCGGCGGTACGGCCACCACGCCAGTCCTTGGAGGAAGGAGCATCGACAGTCTTCTGGGTGGCAGTGTAGGAGTGGACAGTGGTCATGAGACCTTCAACGAGACCAAAGTTGTCGTTGATAACCTTAGCAAGGGGAGCAAGGCAGTTGGTGGTGCAAGAAGCGTTAGAGAGGACGTTGATGTCGGACTTGTATTCCTTGTTGTTGACACCCATAACGAACATGGGGGCATCAGCAGAAGGAGCAGAGATGATGACCTTCTTGGCACCACCCTTCAAGTGAGCGGAGGCCTTCTCGGTGGTGGTGAAGACACCAGTGGACTCGACAACGTAGGCAGCGCCGGCAGTAGCCCAGGGGATTTGAGCGGGGTCACGCTCGGCGAAGAAACGGATCTTCTTGCCGTTGACAATGAGGCCCTCGTCGTAGGTCTCGATGGTGCCCTGGAAGCGACCGTGGGTGCTGTCATACTTGAGCATGTAGGCCTACACCATGGAGATCTGATTAGTTCATGGCCAGTGGATATGTCATCCTAGACGATCTTGAGAGAGACATACAGCATAGTGGGTCTCAATGAAGGGGTCGTTGACAGCAACAACCTCAACGTCACCGCTGGCGATGCTGTACAAGCACATTTGGTTAGCAGCTTCCCCCGACAGAAAAGGCTAGAGTGGGTAGTCCCATTGACCGGGTACCGGTCTGGACCATTAAGAATCCAATCATAGCCTAGAGAGGCGAATTGAACCACTTACGCGTTACGGAAGACCTGTTACCTTATTAGCCTCAATGAAGTATTGCGATGATGTAGAAAGGATGGATAACTTACGATACGACCAATACGGCCGAAGCCGTTGATTCCAACCTGAGGGGCCATTGTTTGGATGTGTCTGTTGGTTGGCGGGGTAGCTGTCAGTCAATCTGTGTGGAAAGGGAAACGGTAGACGCTTGGGAATGGCTCTGATATACAAGATTCAAAGGGGATGATAGACGGGAGACGACTCACTTTAAGTAAGGAGACAAAAGGATAAGATGATTGCAGTGATGTGTATGCGAAGAGAGTAGAAAAAGGGAGAAAAGTCGGACGGCGGGGGAGGGGGAGATAAAAAAAGAGCGATGTTGACTGACGCAACGACCAGGTCACTAATCCAGTCACCGGGCGGATACACGGGGCAAAAGCTACAGCTCTCCTCAAGATCCAGAGTGAAACGGGTCCATGTCAGCTGTTTTCCCGGCTTACGCCGCTCCCCAGCTCTCAGCAGCCCTTTCCGGTTTCATACACCGGGCAAAGCAGGAGACTCACGATATTTGGGACTCTGCCTCTCCTCGGCAGCTACCGGTCTGACCAATGAGCGTGTCTCAAATCCAGCATGCCGGGTACTCAATCCTACCATCTCGTGAATCTTTTGCCAGTTTTTCGGAATCGAGGGGTCAGTACTACCTAGGCTACGAGGAAGACAATCCCGGCTATTACTCTATCTTTTTGTCCTTTGTTCCGTAGTTCAAGCAATTGAGGGGGAAATGATACCCTGGAATCCCATACCTGAGGCATCCCCATAGAGGGGCATGATGTAATTAGAATCTGGCCATACATAATAACATTTCTATGGACCACGGCATCCCACCCTAGCTTAATGGGTGGAAGCAATGGAAAGATGAGGGGCACTCGGTTTGACCTTTCCGTTTCCGGGCCAATTTATCGGACCGGATCAATTATGGTCCACTGCCCCTCTTCCCTCTCGACGCTCACATCATGGCTTAGCGATCTCTCTTAGCCTCTTCTGTTCTCCTGATTCCTGAAAAGATTCACCGGTAGGCAAACGAGGATCACGCGCTTGTCATGGTTTTTGCCCCAATTAATCATCTCTTTGGAACTTTTTACTATTGTTTATTCTTTTTTAGAAGAAGAAAAATTCAATTCAAATTTTCCATCTTGTTGGGAACCAAGATCTCCCCCCCGTCTAGAACTTTGCATGAAACTGTACTGGGGGTTTGGACCAATAACCTTGTCTCTTCTTCGGTGATTTTGATAGTAAGGCTCACTCTCCATGCGTGGATAATACATAAAACGTCATTATTCAAACTTAATGCGATTGTCATGTCACAGTCAGGCGATATTGAATGGCATCTACCCAGGAATAGTTGAATGATCTGGCTTAAAAATAATACATGTAGATCTTGTTTATACTGCGTGTGGCTACATGCAGTACACCATTGTAGACTCAGTATCAAACCATGAATCAATCCAGACTTTCCCCCACTCTTGTGTACATGGCGTCTGAATTAAACTAAATCGTCGATCTAACCCATTGACAAGGTCAACCATCATCCAATCCCCTAAACGATTGCAACACCCGTGAAACAGGGGGGGTGAGTCAGTATAATAGCATGACCACTAAGCTATAATATCCAACAATTAAGATTCAGAATAAGTAAGCTTGCAGGCTAGGTCGAACCACGGTGGTGGCATGTCAGTGTACCATCACGTATGGATCATTTGTGTTAGAGATTGAATTTGACAGTTCACCAGTGTTTCATTTGTCAGTTAATTTTGCCATCTGGAGAACTACACTTAATATATGTTCTACTATGTTGGTAAGAGTAGATCTGTTGAGACTGGGCCATGGATTTAGCGTCTCCATATTTGCCCCAAACTACTTATACCCACAGTACTGACGTCTTTGCACACTTTACTGCTTACTGTGTTCATCGCATGACAGTAATTGCATGATAAGGGGCATACTAGAATCAGATGAAATCAATAGAAACCGCGCATTCCGGTGTCCCGGACCTGGTTGCGGATCTTTTTCTATCAAGATACGGTGGAAATGGTGTACTATCACAAAGATCGACAAGGTGTATGTCTAATATTCTCAAGGGTCAACAACAGTATCCCAGCAAGGCAAAAGAATTCCAATTTGGTCCTGCTCCCACACAATTTACATCACATATATAGAATACAGAAGGAGCAAAGCCATGTACTAGGTACTCTAGCATGCTGTCCCCAACGACCAACCGTTTACTCTTCCTTAACACCACCCCTCCAGTTCTTCTCCGCGTTCTCAACGGAGGCCTTGTCACTCTTGATCTGACCTTGGTTCAGGAAGCTGTTGGAGGCCTTGAAGGGGCGTGCGAGGTCACCAGTAGCGGGCTTTCCAAAGACGTGGATCTTGACCAGATTCGATTCCAGAGCGCTCTTGAGAGGAATGATCGACTGAATCAGGAGAGGGTTGGTGTACTTGAAGTACAGGTGCATCACGCACATCATACCAACACCCATCAGTTGTCCCTTAAACAGCTGGCGCAACTGCCCCTGGTCGTACTCCATGTTGGTGGTGGTCACTGGACGGGGCTCCTCGTTGCTACCAAGAGGAGCGGGCTCCACGTACTTCAACGTAGCCATGTCTAGTAGCGCCAATCAGTCATCTAGTTCCGGTGGTCACAGAAAAAGCGAGGACATACCCTTCTTGCTCTTGATCTTGGACTGAGTGTAGAGATAGATACCCAGGATGAGCACGTTGGACAAGATATACATGCCACGGACGACGAGAAGAACATCAGGGTCCTCAAAAGGGATCTTCTTGGCCAGCTGCATGGCCACCACGATGATGGCCAGGTTGGTACTGTGTTATTGATCGATTGTAAGCATTTGATCCAACATAGAGTAAACGTAATTTGTCGCAAATATTCAAAACAATATCCACAGCGTATTGCACAAAATTACTTACACTTGAGGAGACACCATGTTGACTGCAGTATTGATTGACCCTTTTGTGACGAAGCAGAAGCAACGCGCGAATAGCTTGAGCGGATGAGTGAAGGATTGGCACGCGTGCAAAGACAAAATCTTCCTCAAACTGCGGAACTTGACCCCGGGGAAGTCGGACAGCTGTCCAGATAGGCATTGTGGCACGTGACAAAGACTACGCCTAAAAGAGATTCCCGCAATTGCCACAAGTTCGAGGCCTGAGGCGATAGTATCACTGCATTAAGGCACCAAATCACCTGTTTGCTTAGATAATGCACTGAGCAACCATCATGCTTTGCACACTTCTCTATCAACGACAACAGTGCTGTGACGTTGATGAATATCCACTCTACAGCCTCTCTTTACAATGTCAAAGGCTCTGGACAAGACTCTCTCACTGCCAGAGTACATTACAGACAATGTCTCATATCCAATAACTTACCCTGGCTGAGAGCTGAGGTACTACTGAGTGACCTCAGCTATGACACAAGCCCTCATCACTAACGCCCATAACTTTCCTTCCTTTTTGGATGCTGTGTCAGATCATATGCCATCATTTTGATATGCATTGCACTGAAAACTGCTTAGCTGCTTTGTTTGTGTCACTAATTGACTAGCAAGCTCACCCTCCAGATATCTATCCTCCATCATCTGGAGACTTGGGATGATGTTCTTGGTTTCCTAATCAGGACTAGCGCCGCTCCGCGCTCAACGCCGTCTTTAGCGACCAGGATGGCTTTGACATTTCTGACTCCTTCATCCATCAACAACGCGCGTGCCGCTGGTGTATCGAATCGCTTCAACGTCACCCATCGTGCTCTATTGCTTCAAATACCCATTTGACGCGACATTTCCATCTCTGCGACCTTAAATCTCGACACTTTTCAAAATGCCTGGTGGAAAGGGAAAGTCTATCGGCGGAAAGGCTGGTTCAAAGGACTCTGCGGGGAAGGCTCAGAAGTCCCACAGCGCAAAGGCCGGTCTGCAGGTCAGTAGATATATATTTCCTTGTTGTTCCTGCAGTACTCGCGTTGCTGCAATTTCCGGCAACTCGCGGGAACTTGTGAAAAGTCTCTAGACTCGAAACTTTTTTCCCCTTTCTCACTTACTCTTCGCTGTGGTCTATTACCTCTCTCTCGTCTTCAATCTTGCTTGACATGTGTCAAATGGATGCATTCAGGGCTTCATGGTGTCGCTAGGAGTTAGGCATTCGGGCGTGAAGACCTTCACTTGCACGCTAAATTAAGACCTTTTGCGATCGATTATAAGTACTGATTAATCTCTGCTTTTAGTTCCCTTGTGGTCGTGTTAAGCGTTTCTTGAAGAACAACACGCAAAATAAGATGCGCGTTGGCGCCAAAGGTAAGGCTCATCAGTTGCAAACAGCGTAACCATGATTTGTCATTCTTAATGGACACCACTAACAATCAACTTATAGCCGCCGTCTATGTCACTGCCGTGTTGGAGTATTTGACTGCTGAAGTTCTCGAGCTTGCCGGAAATGCCGCCAAGGACCTCAAGGTCAAGCGTATCACCCCCCGTCACTTGCAGCTTGCCATCCGTGGAGACGAAGAGTTGGACACTCTCATCCGCGCCACCATCGCTTTCGGTGGTGTCTTGCCACGCATCAACCGTGCGCTGCTACTGAAGGTGGAGCAGAAGAAGAAAAACAAGACTGAGGCTTAATTTACGGCGGATACCCCACGAATATGGCGTTTGAAATGATGACGATTGAAAAGGATTCCGGGATATGTCTGTTACAGCGATCGACCTTTAACTGGTTCTATTTCAAATCCGACCAGTTACAAAAGAAAAAAGAAACATTCTAAGAGGCGACGGAGAACTAGATGACTAGGCATCTTTCGGGACAGGGGTTTCTCCAACGCAAACCCCAATCTCTACTCTTCCCTACTCCACGACGCTGCAGCTCGCGACGCTTTTTCTCTCTTGTACTCTGTCTTCCTCTATGTGCTCCGTTCATACCGATTGTCTCGAAATACCATGGCGCTGTAATGGGAAAAGGGTGATATCTTGGTAGTGGGATTATTTTCGATTTTTTTTTCAACTTTTCTGTTTCCCTATTGTTTTCCCCTTGTTCTTATTTTTCCCAGTGAATTTTATTCTAATTGATTGACGGTGTTGAGTGCTTCCGATTTATCTACCTCAATTACCATTACGATGTCTCTTTTAAACTTGACGGACTTGTACTGTATGAGTATACTTTGCTCATTTGCGAGAAACTAAATAAAAATAAAGCCAGGCCATACCATCCCGGGAATATACATGGTGTCTCTACTCTCCTAACATTGACCCGTTTTCTGGGAGTTCCTGACTGCTGCAAAATATGACATTTGATATATTAAATCACACCTTAATATTTCGTATATTTTGCTGGCTATTATCAGAGGTCAAGGTCTTTATCAAGGAATACATTTTTTGCCGCTGAAGAGATGCATCATGGGAACCGATCAACTATGATGTGGAACGTTCTAAGCCCGTTCACGACTTGCATCGTAGAGTGGATGAACATGCGGGGATGGTAGCCCAATTGATAGTATTACTGATGGGAATAATGCGAATCAAGTAGAACATACATTTATTGGCGATCTTAAGAGACAAAAAGAGTACTAAAGCAATACGGAGAAAGAAGACTTCGGGAAATAAAAGCCATATTTCAAACAAGGCCCTGACAATATAAAAAAGGGCGATTAAAAGGAAAGCGAGAGAAGAAGAAAAAGTAGAGATTAGGTTGCATCCGGAGACTGAACTTTTCCAGTGGACATACGACAGGGAAACGTACTGGACTCATTAGATCAGTTCGTAGCCACCCTTAGGGAGTACCTATTAGTATAAAATAGGGCCCAGTCCATAGGAGTGTCAGTTCTCTAAACGCAAAAAATCCACCCAAACTTGTTTTGTCACAATCCCTCTTTCGTCCGCCACGCATTGCAGGCCAGAGCTGAATTGAACATGCAAGCCAAAAGGGAGCGAGAAAAAAAGAAACGTATCAGGAGATCCCGGGAACAAGCACGTTAATTGACTTGGCAAAGGCTCAGATGCCCGTGGGAAGAGCTTATAGCGTGTATGGTCGAGGTTGAAACAAAAGCAAACATTAAACAATGCATGGCGCCCCATATACAAAGTAATCCAAAGATGCAAATGCAGGTATGTCATCTCTCTTGCCATGGTAAAAAGACATCGGTATTCTTTTTGTTCGTCCTTTCATCATCTTCCTGTAAGTTAAAAAAAAATTTGCTTTCCGCCGACACAAATTGCGAAGAAAAACAAATATAGATAAACAAATATTTCTGGAAAGGCGCCCCGCGTCTCATGAAAATTCAGGAGCTTTCGTTCTTTTTCCGTTTTTTCATTTTGTTCCGAGAAGTAAAGAGAAACATATAGTCCGTTTAAACAGCATGCCTGCTGGGCTGCCCCAAAATAACGTCTAAAACTTGGCTAGATCAGAGAAAGTTCTTTTGTGGTTCTCTTGGTGAGTGTCATCTCGTCATCCCTCATCGAATCGTAAGCCAATAATCGCAGAACAGGATCAGGCCTCGTGATATAAGAGTCATATGCGTCTTGCGGCAAAGCAATCTAACAAGTTTCGTCGTTTTTCATCTCCCGTCAAAGTTGTTTACTCCACAATGATTTCCACGCCGGAGTTGGTCCGCAATTCGTCGCTGCCACGCGATTGGTGTCCGTTTTGGCGTCGAAAACCTGGACCCTTTTCGGGCAGGGGGCCTCTCGGCTGCCTAATTGGCACGCGCTCCTGTGACTGTCCGTCAAATCCAACTCCGATGGATCGGTTACTACCGATGGGTCCAGCACTGGAAGGTTGACTTTCCGGCTGTTCCCAAGAAAACATACCCCGCAATCTCCGTGGGCTTGAGCTAGGCCCACCAATTCCAGTTCCCAGAGAAAGGCTGCTGAGACTATTCACTAACAAATTATCATCCCGCGGCATGCCCAAAGACGATCCAGATGGGGCAGGCGTGAGCGTCGGGGTGTTCGAAGCGCCACTGGTGGCACCATCATAATGCTGGAGGCGTGCACCGTTCGACTGCAGGGCCGCCGGGAAACTCGCGGACGAAGGCACTGGCGACGGAGTATAGGAACGTAGGTCTGCGAACGACTTCGCCGCACGTAGGTTTTGGGCATTTCCAAAGTTTCCTGGGGAATCGAGAACACCAAGGAATCCTGACGCCTGTCCTCGAAGGGTGCCGTAGGGGCCAGGACCTTCGTTGCGCGCTTCGCTAAAATCAATCGTCGCCGCGCGGTTCAGTCCTCGACGGGCTGTTTCGGCAGGCTGGACGGCGGCGGGAATCGATGACAATGGAGGGCTCACATTGGTGCCAGGAGCCACCTTGAACACATGCACCTGTCGCTGTTCCCCAGATCCGCGAGAAGCGTGTCCCAACCCCATGTTATGGGCAAGAGTGTGAACGGTACGACGCTGAACCGGGGAAAGGTTTGATGGGAAAACCAGTGTATCGCGACCGGTATCCTCCTTGAACAGAAGAAGTTGGGAATAATATGATAGCGTCGTGCTGTCATTCAAATCGACCTCTGCGAAACGTCAAGTGCCATTAGCGCCGACCATAAATGACGACATGGAGGTGGTCCAAAACAAAAATTAAAAGGAAACTTACCTAGCTTCTGGCCACGCTGAGAGACGGGCGACGGAGATGTCGCGGGGAGGTGGGAAGTCAGCGAGGACATAGAGCTCTGGGTCTGAAGCTGGGAGGTCGCCATGGGCCGATGTTGTTCTTCCAACTGGCCCCGACGCTCGCGCTTCTCCCGTTCAATGCGTTCGCGCTCTTGAAGTGGCAGCATCTTCTTGTACTCGACCCTCAACTTCCGTCCTTGAAGCTCAAAGTGGTTCAGAACCTCGATGACTGTCGCTGTTTCCTCCGCGGATGTGAAGTTCGCGAATGCCAGTCCCCGAAACACGCCGTTGTCAAAATGGTAGTTGAATGCATACGGCAGCGGCAAATTCA